ATGATGTGAATTGGCTCCATAGAAATAAACTGAATAGAATTGGAAATAACTCAGAAAGAAAGAGATATTCCTGTATACTGCAAGTTAGAACTTCTGATGGTCAACTTCCAGAAGGCAAGGCATTGTTCAGAGGATGAAGCACAGCCACAACCTGCACTGCATGCCGGCCTTACCTACTGAGATGTGCCTGGAGGTGCCCAAGAAAAAGTAGATAACGACTGGAAAGAAGGCAGCGAAGAGTCCATACCATGGAGGCAGGGAGGCCAGCAGGCAGTAGGCCAGACCTGAAATCCACAGAGAACAAGACATGGTCACGGACCCGCGGCATATTGGTCATTTCTTTCATTCAAAGCCAGTTAGCTCATTGACAACTTAAAAAACAGCTGAGAATAAAACGGTCAAAGACAAAGCTAGAGGAGGCAAATGAAACCCAGTAAAATCAATAGGAAATAAAACATTAATATGCAAAACAATGAAATACCGATAAGGGAAAAAATGATGATTTAACCTCAGAAAATAAAGATGGTCAATAAGAAACGATCTATGCTGGTGAAGATTCTCAGTCAACCATGTCATAGTGATTCCAAAAAAGTTAAAATCAATCCAGTGGATTTTGTTTCCAAGTTTGAAGACGTTTCTCTTCCATCCTGGAAACTTTTTCAGTTAAAAATGTCAGAAATAGCGTTTAGTTCCAGGTTTTATCCAGCAGCCCAACAAAGCCTGTCTTTAGTTTAGAAAACATGCAAATAGAAACGGATGAACGGGTCCCCCCCTTTGGAATGGGGGTCGTTTGGCTTCTTTGTTAGCCTGCAATGCCCCACACCTGTCTATGTCTCTGAAAGGGGGGTCGTTAAAGGGAATTGTTGGGGCTGGCTGAATAGGTGAGGTGTTCTGGTCAAAGTAAAGTGATAACGATGAAAGCAAAAAGGGATCAACTCAACTGCGTCATTGGAACGTTAAACAGAGGGGGTGGACTCAGATTTCAGCTTCTACACAACAAAAAATGCCTTTTAAAAAATAAAAAAATATAGTGTTTTAAGTGAATTATTGCTTATTTCGAGCTAAATAATCTGCCAGTGCAGCAAGCAAATGAGACTTGGTAAGATTTCTTAAAACAAGTAGTAAGCATCCAAAAAAGTAGTAGTAGAAAGTAGAAAAATCTATTTTTTCTTTTACTTGTTAAGATTTTTTCTCTTATTTTAAGCAATTTATTCTCATTTATTCGTCATTATTGCTTAGAAATAAACGTCCTCTAACCAATTATTGCTCAAAACAAGCATAGAACAGGCTTAAAAACAAGGCAAATGTACTTGATACCAGTTCATTTAAAGGCTTTAAAACTAGTCTGTTTTTCTTAGCTAGAAACAATTTCATTATTTAAGAGTAGTGTATGGGAAAAATACACTTGAAAAAAACTTCAAAACGTTTTTTTATTAATATTTTAGCAGAAGTGTCACAGAATTAAGTGAACCACTGCTAAGGTTCAGAATCTCAAAGCTAAATCATGAATGACCCGATCAATTTGAATGCAATCAGATTTGATTAGCTGGGATATCTTAATGAGATGGGGTCAGTTCTTAAAACAGGTTAATATAGATCGTCTTATTGTCTTGAAACAAGTAAAAATGTGCTCACAATCTAAATGTTAACGCGACTCAGTCCGCAATGTGAGCTATTTTAAGAAAAAAAGTTGCTCAGAATTAGTTGTATTATCTAGTTAGGATTAAAAAAATGAATTTTCTTAAAACAAGTCAAATAATCTTAAGAATATTTAGTCTTACTAAGAAAATACATTGAAAAACAAGTGTAATAAGACCAAAATGCTTAATTCAAGTTTATTACACTTGTATAGATTTTCCTTTTTTGCAGTGTAAAAACCTACAATGCAAAAACGATCTAGAAATAAGTAAAAATTTCCTAAATTAAGTGTATTCACTCCTAATTTGAGTAGGTAAATGAGATAGTTTGCCAATGGAATTAGCATTTTTACTCTTAAAATAAGATAATTAGATAACATGCACTTGAAATAAGACAATGCAATTGTGTTTTCTTATTTTAAGTGTAAATTGTCTTGTTCCATTGGCAGAATGTCTCTTTTACCTCCTCAATTCAAGACCAAATGCACTTATTTTAAGAAAAAAAATTACTTATCTAGATTTAGATTTTTTGCAGTGTACAATGCAGCAATCGAGTTGATTCCTTCCCGCTATCATCGCAATAAATCCCATAAATGATCCACCTCACCTCAGAGCGTAACCCTGAAAGCTTGAGTTTGACCCTAAAAAGTTGGAAAAAGCTGATTTTCTTTCACCATTTTTCTGCCCTTGGCAGAAACTGGTTACCAGTGGTGGGAACAGCTGGTGTTTACAACACTGTCGATACCTCCAGGAAAAAGAGACAAACGGCTGAGTTACAGCAGGCGAAGCGTGACGTCAGCGCGGCATCATCAACATTCCTTAGATCAGGAGCAACGGCTGCTGATGCAGACATACGGGGATGAGCGGGAGGCTGAACATTGACTAAAGCACTTCTGGGTATGTTTGCTTTGTGTGTGTCTGTGGGGGGGGTCACGCCTGAGTACAATTCCTAAATTCTACCTTTGACTTCACAAGAAAATTAATGATCAAAGGAATCGCTATCAGCAATGCATTCTGGGTTAATCAGTAGGAAGAGCCTGCATCTGGACCATGGTTTGTGCTTGTTGAGTCGTACCTTGCAGAACAGCCACCAGTCCAGTGCTGATCCCAGACACGACGTCGCTGAGCAGCCACTCTTTGACTTTGTAGATCTTCATCCAGCCGATGACTGGCAGGAGAGACAGCGCTGCGTTCTTGGCGCGTTTGGCGTCGCAGCTGAAGCCAGATCAATAAACAATAAACAGACAGTCACTCCCTCTGCTTTTTTATTATTATATCAGCGTCTGAGTCTGCAGCAGATGTTCTTAAATAAACGCCCTCTATATTTTAATATGGATGCATACTAGTTTTCCAGGTTCTATGGCAGAAAAACATCCCCGTAGCATAATACTGCCACCACCGTACGAGGCACCATGTTGCACATGTTTGAATTTTAGTCCTAAAAATTTGTATTTTTTCAATGAATCAGACCAGATGGTCTATTTTCTCTTAGTTTTGGAGCCTCTGGGGCACCTGGTGAGTTCAGGTAGGTGATTCGGTTTCTGTAAACACCTAATTGCTGCACCAAGGAATACATTTCTGCTTTCCTTTATTGCTTAAACTGCAAAAAAAATCTGAATCTAAGTCATGTTTTCTTGATTGAAGAGATAAGTGGGACACTTTAACAATGGAAAAAAAGACAATTTACATTTACACTGCAAAAATGTCTTAAATGAAGTGTATTTAATCTTAATTTGAGTTGGTAAATAAGATAATTTGCCAATGGAACGAGTATTTTTACACTTAAAATAGGATAATTAGATAAAATGTGCTTAAAATAAGACAATGCAGTTTTTTTTCCTTATTTTAAATGTAAATTTTCTTGTTCCATTAGCAAAGCATCTCACTTAGCTGCTCAATTCAAGAACAAATGCACTTATTTTAAGAAAAAGTTACTTATTTAGATTTCAATTTTTCAGTGTAAAATACTTTTATTGTCCTTTTAAAAAGTGCATATTATCTAATTATCTTCTTTTAAAGGTAAAAAATACTCATTCCATTGGCAGGTCATCTTATTTACCTGCTTAAATTAAGAGTAAATACACTTAATTTAAGAACATTTTATTCATTTCTAGATCATATTTGCAGTGTTAAATGAAAATGTTGTAAATCTACTTAATTACGAACAATATGAAGCAGGAATACATTTTGTTGGAGAGTTTATAATAAATATACATAAAATATAACACGGGGTTTGAACAAAAATCCCAGAGAAAGCTGAAATAAACAGTTTAGGAAACATGAAAATTGTGTAATTAAATTGTGAAAGTGAAAAAAAAGACATACGCTGCGAAAAATATTCTGAAAAGTAGTAAAAGTGTCTTAAATTAGGTGTATTTACCCTTAATTTGATTAGGAAAATAGGATGATCTGCCAATGGAATCTGCATTTTTACCCTCAAAATAAGATAATTAGATAATATGCAAGAGACTGCAGTTCTTTTTTATTATTTTAAATGTAAATTGTCGTCTGCCATTAGCAAAGTGTCTCATTTATTTCCTCAATTCAAGAAAAAAATGCACTTATTTTAAGAATCAATGACTTATTTAGATTTAGATGTTTTGCAGTTTACTATTATTACACTGGGAAAAAGTAATTTTATCTTATAATAAGTGCCTTTGTTCTTGGATTGAGGAGGTAAAAGAGACATTTTGCCAATGGATCAAGAACATTTATACTTAAAATAAGAAAACTCAATTGCATTGTTTTATTTCAAGTGCATTTTATCTAATTATATTGTTTTAAGAGTAAAAATACTCATTCCATTGGCAAACTGTCTCATTTACCTGCTCAAATTAAGGGTAAATACACTAAATTTAAGAAATTTTTACTTATTTCTAGGTTGTCTTTCCAGTGTAGGTGGTAGAAAAAATTAAAAAAGTAAACATTAATCCCCAAAATGAGGTCAGAGAATTCATTCTGGATTAAAATATGTTTTGTAAATTTGATCTTTAAACTATTCAGGTAGAAATCCAAACTAAACTGACTTTCTGAAAAACGTCTGACTCCTGATATTTGGCTTCAAGCCTCAATATTTACTTTTCCTACATTTAAAAACTGATGTCAGGAAAGACTGTAAAGCCTGATTGGATATAAAGACGGTGAGAAAGAAAACCTGAAGTGCTTTTTAGAAGTCAAACAAAGTTAAAAGGTACATGAGTGCAGATCTTCAGGGGTTTTAGGACTTAAACACAATAAAACCTGACCTGAACACAGACCCCAGTTTAAACTGTAAAAACCAGAGATAAATGTTCAACAAAACGACAGTAAAAGCTGCTGGTTTGGTTTTGGGAGGTTACAGAGTTTTTCCATGACTTCGATAAAACTCTCATGAATTCAACTCTTTTATCCAGATATTTTCTAACCAGATTAGGTTAGAAAATAACACAAACTGTGAGTAAAGCTACGAGATGCAGCAACTTCGGCTAAAAGACAGACATAAAACCGTCGTTTCAAGTTAAAGTATTGAAGTACTCACTTTGGAAACTTAACTATTCAAAAGTACAAATAAAATTTTCTACTATGAGTTAATTTCTGTCTAATTTTCAGAGTAATTTCAAAGAACCTGTAACTTTCAGAAACCTCCTGGTGTACTGGTGCATAGAACCACCTGCTATAGATTCTACACCACCTGGAAAGAACTTCTGCATAGAAATACAACAAAAAATAAGGACATATATCTTATTATTTTTATTTATAAAGAGATCAAATAGAAAACAGGAGAGTCTTGATTCTCCTCACATGTTCAATGAGGAATAGAGGTTAAAGGTTGAATCTCTGACCACAAAGAAACTATAACTCTGCTCTAAGACTCATCCTACGGAAAAACTTGGCCACCTGGCAACAATTAACGCCTTAATAAAATCATAAAATTCTAATAATATCTGCTCTGAGCTTCTCTCATCTGTGGAACGTCATTAAATCTGTAGATCAGTGGCGTCTAGATTCAGTCCTAAAGGCTGCTATCCGCCATGATGGATGAAAAACAGCAACAGAGGATTAAAAAGCTGAGCTGAACCAAAGGAAGAAGGAACTAACAGCTTCCTGGAAATGGTTAAAGTTATAAAAAAATAAAAAAAAGTACTCAAGTAATATAAAGATACTCAGCAAAACTACTAAAGTACAGTAATCAAGTAAATGTACTTTGTTAGTTTCCAACCCTGCATTTGGATCAAATTGAATATATCCCTTTCACATATAAGCTTGTATGATGTCATCAATGGCTTGTTGCTGACATCCAATCAGGAATGGAGATGGGGCCTTTTTTTTTCCCACTGCTATTTTTCTCATCTTTTTTTTCCTTATGGAATCTATTTTTTTGCCTTTTTCATCAACCTAAACGCCACAAAGCAGGATTAGCCTTTTATTTTCTTGCTTTCATGCATAAAAAAAGTGTCATTTTGTGGCACATTTGACACTGTGGTGTAATATCAGAGTTGCACTAGTGATAGGACCTTAGAGCTCACCTGAAGTACTGCCTGACGTGGTCCAGCATGGTCTTGCGGTGTCTGTAGACCTTGTTGTGCTTCTCGTTGAAGGAGTCCTCCGAGTACAGCGGCCTGGCCACCACGTACTGCCTAGCTCCTGTTCGCATCATCTCTGCTGCCTGGGGGACGGCTGCTCCTTCTCTATGTGACTCTGAGGTGGGATAATCACATTAGGGGTTAGGAGGAGAAACGCGTGCCACCTTTGAACGTCACTTTTCAAAGCTCCAGATCCTCAGACTCAAACAGAACACAGAAGCCAGGCGATGCTCCTCTCTGTCCGGCTTTGACAGGTCCTGTTTTAGCTCCGAGTCTGAGGGACTGCTTGGAGATGGAAGCGGAGCTCATTTTTTACAGCAACTTTTGATTTAGGAGGAGCAGAGCCGGCCCAAGCCTCCATGAGGCCCTGAGCAGAATTACACACTGGGGCCCCTATATTTCTTTGCATTTCATTGCAGCATTTGAGAAGCTGCTTACAGGCCTCTATCTGCATGCATTGTAATAAAACAAACTAGTGTGCAGTTTATTTGTAATAAAAATCAGAAGTATGAGAACAAATTAAAAACTATTAATAAAATTGCTTTAATAATAATAATAAAAACTGAGCAAAAACAGATGTAATTGAATAAAAATGCATCAATGCATTTATTTTTTATGTAAAAGTTCAACAAACAATTTCAACATGCAATTTTTTTTCTTACTTTTTCATAGAAAAAACTTTAAACATTCAAAAGCGAGTCACTGTTTTTTAGGGGGGCCTCCAAGTGCCCTTTGTCCCAAATCCTGTGGCCGGCCCTGCGTTGAAGTTATGATGCTGCCGCAAATTGGTATATTGGAGTCCTTTTAGTTACAGATTCACTTTGGTAAATTAATGATGAATATAGGCAATAAAATGAAATTATGTAGAATATTATATGAAAGAGCATCATTTGTTTTTAAGTAAAAAAGATTAAATAGAATATGACTAAATTTACATCGAATTAGATTTAATTACCCCCTAAAATTTAATTTTTAAATTTTAGTTTGTCAACTAAATAATACTTTATTTTTATGGAAGCTTTAGTTTAAGTCAGGAACAGTAAGAAAATGGAAACTAAATTCATTTTAAGGTTTAAATCTGTTAAGCAAGAGCAAATATTAAATTTAAAAGATATAAATAATGTCAAAAATGTCCCAAAAACATTAAGCAGTACATTATTTCTTTATTTTTTAGGATTAAATCTGTTAAATAAGGGCTTATTTCACATACCTGGTATCAGATGTGAGCTTCCACGCTCTGCTGCTCCTGTTCCAACACCTGAGGATCAACTGTGACCACAGACGCTTCTGCCATCAATAAATGCCACCTCAACCTCTTATCACGACTGTAATTATTAACAGCAATTATGATGAAGTCCCTGGTTCACCCAGCTGCCGGACACCTGCCTTACCCTTGACCATTGTTCCCACTGATAGACGTGAAGCGCAACTTTTAGTGCAGAGGAGGACGTAGACAGGACAGAACATTCTAGCTATTGCGAAATAGAAATAAAAGTAGCAGTTATAGGAGGGGGCAGATCTAAGTGTTCGCTGCTGGGATTTGTTCTGATGAGGAAAGACCAAAGCATTAGCTGTAATCCTTTTATTTTATGATGAAAAAGCCAAACTTGTAACAAGCAGAACAGTAGAGATAAAGTTGATGCAGTCAAAGTGCTGAGAATGGTCAGAATCCCTTCATTTGGGTGGAATGTAAACATCACACCGTGTGAATGACCTCATTTAGGTTTCAGCTCTGAATTAAGCAGAGGAAACATCTCTCACAGCGCTCTGCTTAGGAAACGTGAGTTTAATCAGAAAGATCCATCAAACAAGCCAAGGCTGAATTTCCTCATCTGATATCAGGAATAAAAGTCACACTATTTATCAGTTTTAATCTGACAGAGATAACGCAAAGTTTGGATTGGAAATTTCCCGTCAGATATGAGAAGCACTAATAAATCTCAATGGTCCGATTGGGATTTTTCAGAAGGCAGTTCTGAAAATCACCAAAAAAACGTTGGTCATGTGACATAATGAGTGATAAATTACACAGAACTGATTAATATTTAATATTTGCAGGAAAAATGATGCCACTGTTTACCAGTTTGAACTCTGTGCTCATTTATGGCCAATAAATCAAGACAATGCAGACCTATATGTTTTCATGTGCAGTAAGCTGCTGTTAAAGAAAAAAAAAAACATAATTACTTCTGAGAAAATCCACTACTGGGTCAAAATGACCCAACCGGTCTTGATTTAACGCAACAATGAGGGTCAAAGGTCGGCTTCAGTTACAACATTAGATTTAGTTTATTTAGTTTTTCATTTAACCACTTTACCACTTCGCCAAAAGTAGCCATTTTATTCAATGTACTTTATTTATACTATTTTTTAGTATTTTCATTTGTGTTAAGGTTAATTTTACTTTATATTCTTAAGAAAAGTATAGTAGAGTATACTGGTAGAAGTTGTAATATAAAAAAATTGATACTAAGATACTATTATTTTTACTCAAGTTAATTTGTACCTTTGATTTCAACTTTTTTTCTGCCACAAAGTTCTGCTCCTTAAAATATCTCCATCAACATATGGAATGAGAAAAGAATACCTGTAGTATTTAATTGAAGTATAACTTAAATATTCCTTAATAAACTAAAATATGAACTGCAAGTGTTTACCTTTTACACTGGCGGAGGTGTCAAAAGTATAAATGTTTATTTGTCCAGTTGAAGTAAAAATGCTGATGTTTAACAACACTTTATAGAAGTTACAGGATCTTTAATCCATTAAAGGAACATTTTTTACAACTTGCTTAGAATTCATTTTCTTAGCTTTATAACTAATGGTAACAGCGTCACATTTAATTTTGCATCATCTTGAAAAACTGTTATTTTTTCAAATACCAACAGGCCATAAAACTTATAATGAAACAAAAATAATGAGTTTATTTTTAAAATTTAGGGACTAGAAGTAAAAAAAGCTTTCCAAAAAAAGAATTACTCCAGAAAAGTATTGATAGTCTTCATTTCTACTGTAGTAAAATAAGGAAGTATTTATACTTTGTTACTTGACACATCTGTACACTAGTACTATAAAGATGAATATACTAGCTGCATACTTGACTCTTTGTTATGACCATGTAATGTCATATTAAAGTATATGTGAACATAAGAATATCCCAATTTAATCTGAAGAAGTATTAAATTCTAGTACTTTCAAGTAACTAAGTACATTTGCTATACTTAACAGAATTAACTTCTGTTAGAAAATGGGTATACATGATGCCAATATGCACTCGGCTGGGGATTTACCATTAGGCAATACTAGGCAGTTGCCTAGGGCCCCAAGTTCCTGGGGGCCCGATAAAACTCTTCCTTATTTGTACACACACTGCAAAAAATGTAAATCTAAATAAGTAATTTTTTCTTAAAATTAGTGCATTTTATCCTAAGTTGAGGAGGTAAATGAAACACTTTGCCAATGGAACAAGACGATTTACATTTGAATTAAGAAAAATCAATAGCATTGTCTTATTTCAAGTGCATATTATCTAATTAACTTATTTTAAGTGTGAAAATACTCATTACATTGGCAAACTATCTTATTTACCTGCTCAAATTAAGGCTAAATACACTTGATTTAAGACATTTTTACCTAATTTCAGATTGTTTTTGCAGTGCATTAATTATGTTTTTAATAAAAAAAAAAAAATCATTAAGCTAAAACGCCATCAGAACGCTGATAATATTAAGTGTGTCTCAGCCCCCCCCTTCAGTGTCCACCATATTGGATCAGTCCATTTGCTGCACATGTTCAGAAAGGTCCAAACAGACAGCAGCAAACCATTTGAAAACAAACCATGCAAAGAGCAGTGTTGCCAACTTAGCGCTTTAGTCGCTATATTTAGCCACTTTTCAGACCCCTCTAGCACTTTGATTTCTAAAAAGCTCCTAGCGCCAAATCTAGAGACTTTTTTCTGCTACTGGAGACTTTGGAGACAACATCTAAAAGCAGCGAACTCTGCTCTCCAGAGCGAGTAGATTGGTAACCCCGCCTCCTGCTCTCCTCTATCTTGTCTGCTGTCATGATTCATGCAGCTATTATTTCATCCAAATGAAAAATGGAGAACAGATAAGCAGATCATGGCTTGTCTACAGTGAAAAGAAGGACTGGGTTATTTACTTTGGCCTTTTTGGAAACACAGGAAGGAGCAATCAGCTAAGTGAGCTTAGTGCTTGGAAAAAATCTTTCATTCCTTTAGAGACAGCATGAAAAGTCAGCTGAGTACAAAACATAGAGAGGAAAACAAGAAGAAAAGGGACAAGAAGAGAGGGACACAACCTAGAACAGATAATGGATGTCTATTCTATTAACATTTCTCTATCTGGAGAATGTTTGTTTTTTTATGTGTTGCCTTCTCAATTCAGAGGGGCCCCTGCCTGTCTTTGCCTAGGGCCCCACATTTGCTAAATCCGCCCCTGTATATACTATTTTAGAGCAGAAGCTCTTTTAAAAGAGAAAATTAGGTATCAGAACCAAATTAATGCAGCACCAGAGGGTTATGGAAAGCATCTTGCACAAACAACAGCTTTATTATCTCTAATGAGACTTTTATTATCCAACACTTCCCTTCTGATAACGGAATTAATGCTCTATATCAGGTCCAATAAAGCAGCTAAACTCAGTGTGTGGTTTGAACTGGCAACGGCTATCAAAAAATATAAATGTTGAATAAAGTAACATTTTCAGAACTGCAGAAAGTTTTCACATTGTTTCTACAGTTAAATTGCTCCTTTAGAGGCAGAAGAAAGGATTTCCCCCCCCCTCCCTCTAGTTGTTTAAAGCAAGGGGGAGGCGGGAGTTGTGTCATGATGACAAGTAAAGTACTAACAGTGATAAGAGAAATTAATTGTTTTAAATAGTTGTGTCATAATTGATGGTAACATAGCTATGGTCTGTTTGAATAGTTGGTAGAAGGGTTGAGGTGCGGCTTTTAGGGCAGCAGTGCCTCACCTTTAATAATGTGATGTCACACACCGACTGATGCAAGCAGCTGGTTTATACCTACAGACCAGGCTCAGACCGATAATCTGCG